ATACATGTTCACTAATCTAAAAATTGTGTACATAATTTTAGATTCACTCTTCCAATATTTACGATTCAATTTCATCTTTTTATTTGCATAGGGTTTGAATGACAAGGCGGATTAACAAGATTCATCGAACCCTGGTTTAGTTCTATATGAACTTCAATATTATTTAATATAAAAATAGATTCTGATGTCTTTTTTTTAAGAGCGACTCGTACAGTACGTGAGCTGGAGATGGGAGTAGTATACAAGATGTCTGTAGACATTTACTTTTCTTAAAAAAATACAAGAAAATACGATACAGTTGTACAATTTTGGTTAGATATATTTTATCTATTTTTTTATTTGGACATATGATGAAAACTACGGGCTAAATAGTAATTTAGCTTTTTGAAGCTAACGTTTCGAAGTCTATCCTAAAAAACAAATTGACTACAGTATGTTTCATTCGCAAAAAATGTCGTGAACTTGAAGATGTAATGTTCACATTTAGACTTATCTGAAAGTAGGACTGTTTCCACTGTATCAGTAAGCGATCATTGAAACTGCAGTTGTAAATTTTATAACTCAATTTAAATATCATCGCAGTGGGAGATGATAAATCACTAAAATTATTCGGAAGGAATCTAATGTTAAGACAAACATGTCCTAATAAGTTTTTATGTATTTACAAGCTTACTAGGTTAGTTAGTAACGCATTACCGGAAATATAGTGCGTTCTGTGCTTAAGGCAGTGACATTTAGTGATTACCGCGGAAACAGTCGTCGTTGGTCATCGATGATAACCGCCACGACCCACCAGTCGGGCGTCCTCGTGACCGCGGGAACTCCCCTACTCTGCCCGGGTTTTGACCAGGTCGGGCATTGGGTGAGTGCAAGAGGGAATCGTGGTAGGGCCCTACAAATATCCATGGACCCGCGATATCCTCCCAACATCTGCAGACTGTCAAATCCCACATATTCCACGTGCCCCCTTGACGCGGACACCTCGTAAGAGGTACGGCCCCCTGCCCGAAAAAGTGCTATAACTAATATGGGTACAATATGGGTACAATATTACTTGGTACTATACTATATATGTGGTACTGTAGGTATAAAAGTAATACAGTGATGAAGTTCAGAACAAAAGTTTTGTTAAAATAGTATAACATTACAACTATTATCCCGGGGGAACATATTACTGAAATAAAAAGTTTCTGAACTGTTAATACAGGAAATGTTCTATCTATGTGCCGATTTTTATATAAATCTGTTCAATGGGTTGTGCGCTATTGAGTAACAACGTTCATACATCTAAACATTTTCACATTTACAATATTGGTCGGATTTTTCAAGTAAATATTTCAATATTTTTTTTCCATTTATGGCTTTTATACACAAATAACAGAAAAATTAAAGTTTTTACAACATCAACAATCCATTAAATATGCTGTTTTGGTTAAATATGGTCCTAAACTGGACTATGTTTTTCTTTCGTTATACAATTGAGACTTCAATCTCACGTTTCAAGTGACATTCAAGTTGCGATGTATATCTATGCAATAACGAGCTTTATGATAATCTTTACGCCAGAAAATCCCTTAAATTACCAAAACATCGCCTTAGGAAAAGACAAATTCTTAAGCAGCGTTAGAAGTTGAAGCTCGATGAAACGAAAGAGCGACACTAAAAAGAGAAAGACCTCATGAGAATTTATCATGCGAGTTAAATATTTCCGAGGGTTAGAAGATATCAGGCGATGAAACAGTCAACCAGACTGCTACTTACTAAAATAAATTATTTTCAATCTTAGGTTGAAGCACAATGGCATAGCGCCCAGAAAATACCAAAGAGGGGTCGTTCATTCTAGATCAGATCAACCATGTGACAAGCTGCACGAGAAGTAAGCAAATTAATTTTTTAAGGGTTAATACCTGTTTTATAAAGTAGATGAAATTCCGTGAATATTCTATGTCACCATAATAAACGATACAATCTTGGCCGATTAACATCGCCTTTAGGTACGGAGTAGGTAGGATTCCTTATACGCAATGAAAAATGACGTTGCAGGAAGTTAATATACCCAAACTAAGTAAGTAGTATGTAGCTGCCGCATTTGTGAACTGCACAATACGGTTTTATCGCCATTTTCAAATCGTTCCGTTATCTGATATACTTCAATATTGTTCTACATTTGCCAGCGGATTATTACTGGACATATTCCACTCGCTAATTTATAATGGTGGTAAGGTTACACTCATCTTCATTACATGAATGCATGAGGAAGGCAGCCATCGGAGAGGAGTGGCGGAGTGTTGTGAAGCTTGCCATCAACACCTGAAGCGATGACCACGACCACTTTGTCAAGAGCGATACCGATAAAGAAGAATGGTTACCCTCTGAGAATTTCTAGCGCGACGCAGCCATATTTTCTGGTTTGAAGGGTGAGATCCGTTATGTGATAAGTGATGACATTCACGTATCTGATGTCTACGGGCCGCGTTGACCACTTAGCATCAGGCGGATTGTGAGTTCGTTCACCGTTGTATACAATTACCAAAAACCTATTTTCGCATTACTCTCTAATGAAATTATAGAAATAAATCTATAAGGTTTTAAATCTACAATTCTAAAAGATTTTGTTTTAAAACCCTATTTATCCCTAAAGTGTATAAGCAAGTGATCGTATTTTGACTCTCTAAAACACTTTTCCTACCTTTGTTAAATTATGATGATGATTGATGATTGATGTTTTTGAGCCGTATGTTGTTTGGTTTGAGAGCAGAGAAATGATGATGATTACCATCATGGAAATAAAATTTGAAGAGCATGTCGAAAATTTAAATTGGGGTTTTAAATTAGTTTGTCCTGTAGGCACCGTTTTCGATACATGCAAAAAGTTAAATTGATGAATCAGTTTTATTGACCCAAATAAAATACTTATAAGTAGAACTTCGTTTAACCGTCATATGAGACACTTTTCTCTAAGAATGACTACAACCTCACGTCAACAAATGCTCTCAGTGGTGTGTGTTGGATTCAAATCGTATTTAAAATCGGGCGGTCACATCATTCTAAAGCGAAAAAAAAAACCTTTTTACTCAGGAAAATAACCAGTGTTGCGAATCGATTCAGTTGTAAATTTTAAAGTCTCTTTTTTTTAAATATTATTTTACATATTACTTTTACTTTACATATTATTTAAAATTACTGTTATTTATTACCTGAGAGGGGTCCATACATATATAATATAAACTAAATATACAAAAAAAAAAATGCATGGAATAAAGGGCTTTTTTATTTTTATTTTTTTTTATTTTTATTTTATAACGTTAAGGAACCGTGGATACTTACCAGTGTCGTAAAGACTATATCGATTGATTCGTCGGAATATATTCGTGACATGGATACATTTCCGGCCACGTAATGCAACAACGGAAGGGGTCTTATACTGTTGGTCCCATATCTTCCATCTTTTGAATAGAATTGAATTTTTTTGTCGTGTACATTATTGTTTTGCTATGCACACAAACCCTTCTCAACCTAAATAAACTCATTACCATCTAAATGTATGGATGGCCTTTAAAAGACAAAGATTTTTTTTTCTTCAAACGAGGCTTGTGGAGATTACTTAATGGTAGGCAGCGGCTTGGCTCTACCCCTGGCATTGCTGAAACCATGGGCGACTGTAACCACCACTCACCCTCAGGTGGGCCGTATGCTCGTCTGCCTACAAGGGCAGTAAAAAAAGTTTAATTTTTCAATTGTTTCATTCGTAGAAGTTAATCTATACTTCTGTACTATAATATTATAAAGAGGCAAGATTTGTTTGTTTGTTTGTATTGAATAGGCCTCGAAACTACTGAACCGATTTGAAAAATTCTTTCACTGTTTGGAAGCTTAACTATTCCCGAGTGATATAGGTTATAATCTTTTTTGAAAAAATTAGGGATCCTTACTACAACTCCAATAATGTAACCCAAGGTGTAAAAAAATTACCTAAAATATTCTTTACATCGCGTGCCCTGCAAACACTATTGATAATAGAATAAAATAATGTACTACGACTGTAGAACACATTATTGTTTCCAAAAAGTGTCGCAACAGCATATGTCTAACTATTATAGTTATACCGCAATAAGTGCTCTTTTAGTTTTAAAAATAAAACAACGTCAAATATCGTTGAAATTTTTGTTAAAGATCCGAGCGGAGCCGAAGCTGGCCGCTAGTATTGTATAAATTATCATATTGGGTCTGTAACCCAATATTGAAAAAACCATCCCTGTGTAAATATTCACAGTTCAAGTCTAGCCCAGATGTTATTTCTGAAAACGTATCTACTCTCCATTCGGGTATAGTCTAGACAGCGTTCAAGGGATCACAAAATCCAACTTTGTTCAGGTACGCAAAGAGAGGTAGAAATGTAAGCGCTATTTCCTTTTCTTACAATTTTTTTTCAGACGTAGGAATAGCTCTATTATCGGCTTAAATTTTTAATCACCGTCAACGGCAAAGTTTACCTATCGTATCAATTGTTATTGACCGAAAGGCTTACACAATTATTATTTTATTTATAATAGTTCCCCTCGATTGTTGAACACAAAAAGCGTTACGCAGCTCTGCCCGCAAAACAAAGGCGATCGCGCGCAAAAAAATCGAAAGAAATTTTAATCAAACAAAATTGCTCCTTGTACGCACTTCGTTGTGCGTCGACAATAATAATCCACAAAGCGCCAGCCCGCATTTGTTCGAACGCAGCTTACACACAGACGAGGCACACATAGAACACACGACGGCGCGCATGCACTAAAAGTTCACTCTAGCTTACAATGGTAGCATCACACACTGCCCGGACGATAGGTCGTTTCCTCTCGTTTTAGACAAAAGAGAGGGACGAAGTACCGAACGCGACAAACGGCGGTCTGTGTGTACGCGGTACAGGCAGTATAACGGGCCGAACTCGAAGCGCTGTGTGTTCGCCCAAAGTTTTAGTACTTTAGTAGTTAGAGAGCGCGTGGTCGCGACGAGCGCGCGTCGGCTCGGCTTCACGTCACTTTGTTTATTTTATACGAAACACTCGTACAAGATTTAAATTCTCAAAGAAATAGTGCTTTTGTTGTATCAATTAAAATAAATTTCGGATGTATGACGTTGTGCCGGTGTCTGTTTTGTGTACATTTATCGATTTTTCTCATAGCACTTATCCGAATTAAGCGGCTCTAATTTTTTAAAGTACGAAATTAATCGAAGTAAAGTCGCGCGGTGTGCTTTCTGAAAAGTTTGTGCTTTCAGTGTCAGCTGTGTTAGCTCGTTAGCTGTCCCTTTCATTCTAGTCGAAAGGGAAAGGAAGGCCAGATTGCTTGGCTACTGTTGTTTTGTTTTCATGATTTTCTTTGCTGCATATACATAGAGCGGATTGAGGAAATGTAAGTTTGTTTTATTAATACTGTTTATTCTTAGCCTTCGATATTTTATTTAGCGTTATTTTATAAGGTCAAAAACCTCGTCGTAACTTAGTGAAATTTCACAGTCATTTATCTGGGTAGCGTTCGAAATTATTCCGCATATATTGTAAAGTCAGAGTGTAACAAGCCGTTGGACTACTTAACGCATTTCGTATTTACCGTTTCTGTTATGATTTATTTGTAGATCGACGTCGGTCATGTAGACGAGTCTAATTAGACTCCAGTGCGTTTATAAATAGTACCCGCCTTAGACTGTTTCACAAGCCACCGCTCGGCCTACCCAACTTATATTCATAACTGCTATTTTAACTTAACTTAAATCGAGTTAAACTTTCAATGTTATTTAAAGATGTTTAATAATTTCTCGCTAATCGTATTTATTTTAAAAGATTAATTTAGATCTAAATCAAAATACCTACTTTAAAAAGCATTCTTCATTAATTTTAACACAAAGCAGCTTCCAAAATATAATTAAAGAAATATTTTTTTAATTACACTAATGTTATCATAATAATTGTGTCAGTGCCAGTATTAGTGCCTGTATCAGTGCCAGTATTAGTGCCAGTATTAGTGGATATGTTGCTTATACTTTATAGTTGAATCATGAACTCCACTTTGTTTTGTCTTATTTTGACCCTTTTAAAGTTCGACCCTCCTTTGTCTGTATCCGAGCCACAGGTGAAACTAATTTATTCAGTCAATATTCAAAACGCTTTGGTCTATTGAGGTATTTGTTTGACAACGCGCATTCAAAATTTGGTAAGAACAACGAGATATAATTTTGTTCAATCGTAAATCAATTTGAATCGACAAAGAGCTTTCAAAACAGTGTAATAGATTCAAGTTTTTAAGGTATGTTATTGTACAAAGGAGGTTTGAGAACAGCCCCAAAAAATATACGTATAAAAAGTATAAAATAGGTGGGTTACAAATAATGTAATAACATCATACAATGAAAACTAAGCCTTCGAATTTTCATGTTTTCCTAATTACTGATATATATATATATATATAGATAGGTTATTTAAGTTAATGGAACCCACATAGTTAGGCACCACAGTCCTCCTTACTCTTGTCGAGAAACAGCCCTCGATTTCGGTTTTGAATAGTGATACAGCATAGAACTGACACTTCCACATCATATCGATATTCAAGTAATGATATCTATGGGCTCCAGTTACGATTTCACTCCACGTGGGCCATAACCCAGTTCAGCCATATAGTGAAATAAAAAAAATAAGTTAAATAAACAATTCGCTAAAACATTTAGCATGTCTGGTCTGGCTTTGTCTGTGGCTTCGATATGAACGTGATAATTTACAACAATTGAATTTTAACAACAACGTGTATTCCGCGTGTCACGTATTTATGTTACGCGCAATATTATTGTAGATGCATTATTGCATCATTCGAAAAAAAAAAATTATCGGAAGACAGGCTCATGGCTCACAGGCCTTGTATTAAGTGATTCTTACTTTTTTATTTTTTTATTGCCCTTGTTGGCAGACGAGCATACGGCCTACCTAATGGTGAGTGGTTACCGTCGCCCATGGACTTCAGCAATGCCAGGGGCAGAGTCAAGCCGCTGCCTACCGCTTAATACTCTCCACAAGCCTCGTTTGAAGAAGGACATGTCATAGCGCTCGGGAAACACCGTGGAGGGGAGCTCATTCCATAGCCGGGTGTGCGTGGCAAAAATGACCTCTGGAAACGCACTGTGGATGACCGCAGTGCCTCCAGGTAGTATGGATGAACTCTACTCCGCTAGTGAGCGAGCGGTGCGATGGTAAAAACGAGATGATGGTATCATCTCGAACAATTCCTCAGAGCACTCCCCATGGAACATACAATACAAAATACAGAGGGAACCGAAGTCCCTCGGCAAGCCTAGAGGTTCCAAACCACGGCATAGATAAATAAGGTTATCTATTCCGTGTTCCAGACGGATTACTTGAGACATGAAACTGTAGTATTAATTTTAATAAAAGTAACGACTGTCCCACTTTTCGAATCGGATACATGACTGATTTGCGGCAGAAATCGGCAGAACTGGGGGGTATCGAACGACGCGGGTTACTCATAACATACTCTGTCAGTCTAGCAGTGTAAAATGACAAAAATACAATCTAATTTTTTGTTTAAGCCAAACCCTTTTATTTTCTTTATGAAATACACTTTAGTTCCGAGGATTATATCATCGAGAAACATGTAAAATCATACCTTTAGAACATTAGAGTATAAATGTAAAAAACCGGTAATTTCACGGTCCAGTTTCACAACAATACAGCCTCACGGTATAATGGAACCTTCAAAAAGAATTTGAAGAATTAACATGATCCTTTTTGGGTCAACGCGTCAGGTTATAGCAGTTTCATAACCGTGGGAGTTTCGAGTAAGACTTTAAAAGCTTTTAAATTTAAGTTTTCGTTCAGCTTCTGTTATTCTCTTTTTAATCAAACAATAAAAACGAAAAAAAAAAAACAATATGGGATTGGGATGATAGTGAGTTAAACTAAACCAAAAATCTAAAAACTCCAGGAACCATTTTTATTATAAGGGCCGTGAGCTCGTCTCCCAGTCTAAAACAATAAAATAATAATTACGGTTCGATATCAATGACAACTTTCAAGTTTTTCGAGATATGCAAATTTCGAATTTTATAACTAAATTCAGAACAATCGTATGAAGATTAACAAGTTTTTTTTTTCAACAAAAGTAAAATTCTAAACGTGATTTCTTTTGAATTACAGATGTCGTTTTTGCGAGTGAGCTTTCTTATAATTGGAACTAAAAATTATGAATCAAAAAGCATTTAATTGTTAATTTGTTGCTGACGTTTTTAGTGAGCCCAACATTTTTGTTTCACATAGAAATCTATTTTAATTGAATTGTAGTTCTGTAATGAAAACATCACACGATATTGTATGTCATCTATATTATTATTTATTTAATATTATAAAGAGGAAAGATTTGTTTGTTTGTTTGTATTGAATAGGCTCCGAAACTACTAAGCCGATTTGAAAAATTCTTTCACTGTTTGGAAGCTACACTATCCCCGAGTGACATGGGCTATATTCAGTCTCTTTTTTTTTTTTTAATTAGCGATCCTTACTAAAATTCCAATAATGTAACCCAAGGTGTAAAAAAAATACTAAGTGTAAAAACAAATATTATTTAAATGAAAATAAATGTTCATTAAAATAATAATATTCAAACTATCTTTATAATTTTCTATTTTTAGAAACCTGACGCAAATATAAGGGTTATTATAATTTTTTATTTTGAAATTTGTGTTAAAGACCCGAGCGAAGCCGGAGCGGGCCGCTAGTTACTTATAAATCGAAAACTAATGAATAAAACACGATACCGAATTTAGCATTTTAAAAATAGAATTTGTTGTGTACGAAGTTTATAATTAATTACTTGTATTTGTATTTACTTTATACTTTCAATTTGTACTACAAAAAACTGATGTTATTTCACAAGTTATTCTCAACACTCATGAAGGATCCGATTGTAAAATTGACATTTCATATTTTGACATTAAGCGATGCAAAGTATGACGATATCAGACTTGAAATAATAATATATTACTAGAGGTCCCGCAGTAGTCGAAATTCGACTATAATTAATTGGAATTGTAAGTTTGTACACTATTATGATTGTACTTTATACTTCTATAATCACAAATTTCGCTAAGACTACACTATAAAAAATATTTACAAAGGCAAACAATATTTAATCTATTCACAATTTGACAACAGACGTCAAGAACAAAAGTTTGACAATAAATAGTATGCATGCGTGTGTGCGTCAAATACATGGTATGTAGAGTGTGTAATGATTTCTTTATTGATTTAATGTATCTTTTTTGCATTATTTAAAAAAAATATTAGCATTGTGCACTTCTTCTCTATATTCTTTATAAGTATGGAAAATTTCATACTCCTCCGTCCGCGCAATTTTCGTAAAAAGGGATACAAAGTTTTTGCTTCACGTATTAATATATAGATAAAATATTATTCCTCTTTAATTGTTATTTACAAGTACCGTTATCGACTGAACAATCTGCTCGTGGATTTTCCCATTAACGGTTTACTGGTGTATTTTACAAAAATGCATCTCTCTGTACTAGTGAAAGTAACTTAACAAGAAGGGCATTGGTCTTATCTCGACTGCATATATTAATATACACTTACATTTCTTATCATTGTCCAATGCATCGTATTATGAGGCAGTATTTCATCTTTAATTGCCTTATAGGTTATAAATATTTAGTGATGTTAAAGCGGTTTGTGAGCCTGATATTTTTTTTTAATTGCTTAGATGAGTGGACGAGCTCACAGCCCACCTGGTGTTAAGTGGTTACTGGAGCCCATAGACATCTTCAACGTAAATGCGCCACCCATCTTAAGATATAAGTTCTAAGGTCTCAAGTATAGTAACAATGGCTGCCCTACCCTTCAAACCAAAACGCATTACTGCTTCACGGCAGAAATAGGCAGGGTGGTGGTACCTACCCGCGCGGACTCACATGAGGTCCTACCACCAGTAAGTACTAGTACCAGTAAGTACTAGTCGATATAGACAACAATTTTGACTTCGACCTCATGACTGATGGTGGCATTTACGTTGAGATGTCCACGGATTCCGGCAACTTGATATGCCAGGTGGGCCGTGATTTATTTCTGCCGTGTATAGCAATAGGAAAAATGTTAATATTCCTGAATTGGATGACATGGCAAAACGATGAATGGAAACACAATGATTCTAGGTAGTGTGGGTTAATTCGGTTTTGTTCACGGGCGGTGCGATGGTAAGATTGTAAATGTAGATTACGAAATCATCTTAATTTTATTTTATTTGAGGTGTATTAAAACAAGACACAAAAATCTGACAGACAGTAGTTCTTCGTTTTTTTTTTATAAGAGATTTTATGACCTGGTAACTGAGACCTTTAAGTCATGTCTTATTTTAATGTAATATATTCTTAATTTTATGAAAAATGATATTATGGTGTGAAATGAAATGAAAATGATTAATTTGAGACATTAATCAACTGGGATGAAATGAAATGAGATGATATGAGATGAAATCTAATCACAGTAAAATGGTGGTCATTTACTAAGATTTTTTCAGTGGACTTTTTGGAGGATCCCGAGAAGTTACGTCCAGTGGCTTTGTTTCATTTTCCCACATTTGTGCACTTTCACAGATATTAAACGGTTAATAAACCACCATTATTACACATTTAAACCCGAAGAAACACTAAATAGACAAAATAAAACAAATCACACAACTTCACTCCTCCCGTTCCCGCCAAAAAGTCCACAGTAGTTCTTGGTTTTTTTTTTTCGGATTACCCTCATCATAATTATCTTTGTTTTGTTGCAGAAATCGCTTCGATATCTTGTGCATACAAGAATATTATAAGTACACAGCAAACAGGCACACCGCCCACGTTGCGAGATAACGCCGCATCCCGTCCACAGAGAAATTAATCTAGCGCACGGTAACAGGAAACATGCCGATAAACTACTGTATGCTGTAACGATCAGAGCACGAAGCAACCATACATTGACATGCTCAGCTGACACCTGTCCAGTTTTCATTGTTGACAAGATGTCGCCCGCTGCATCGACGAAGTACGGTGCACAAGAAGCGCATTCGCCATCAAAAACCATACCAAAAACCTTAAACATTATGGAGCATCTAAATAATATAGCAACTAGAGAAAAAAATTATAACGAACAAACAGCATGCGTCACCAAAGCGTGCATTCATAGTAGTATGAGACAAAATCATTCCAATAAAAAACTAGACGAAAATAACGAATTGACTGATTTAGATAGGTATACGATGCAAATACGAGATTACGAATGTTCGCGTGGAGAAATCGAACGACGACCGTCCAGGAACACTGACGAAAAAATACGACGTGGAGAGCGCGTAATGCAAAACTTACTCGTAAAAGAATCGATTATCAGACAAAAAATCGATATAAAGGCAGACGCAACGAGCCCTGTTGTTTCAAAATTTAAATACGTACAGAATACACAGGAGTGGATGAAAACAGTCGAGAGGTTAATGTGCATCCGTATTCGAGCGTTGTTCGTAATAGGACTGTTGCTCACTATGATCGCTACTGGTACAGCTGCACCCACCAGATCACGAGCGACGAGGACTGCACACCACGAGAGATCAGCGGTAAGTTATTTTTAGAAAATCATCCATATAAAATAAGTAAAACGTATTGTTACCTCGTAGGCGTCGGTGTCCCTGCTATGACTGTCTATATAATTTGTGCTGTAGGTAGGGTTCGTGCTTCGCCTCGCGCATACCAAGTAGCAAAAATACAGGGATATCCTGACGACTCACAAACTTTTGTCTCGGTAAAGGCACGCCGGAAGCTGGCTGCCTTATTATACCGGCATTGTCTGTTTTATCTGAATATGTCTGATTTACCAGACAATGACTTTCTATATACGTGTTCATTTTTCTCAGAGCACTCTCTGGGAGTTTCGTAAGAGCTCCTTGTCAAACAAAAGCACGATTTGTTGTCTTCCTAATTAGGCTTTTGTAAACGTAGGTCGATTAGCAAGCTTTTGAAATAAAAGTGTTTATTGCGTATGTCCATTTTAAAAGTTGGGTTTTAGTTCCGTTTGCCACCAATTTGATACAGAATTTCTACCAAATACTTAGAGGGTGGAAATGTGGTCAATTGTATTAGATTAGTAGCCCTGACAGACAGATGGACGGCTTGGAGGAAATTAATGGGCTAAGTGATGAGTGGGAAGTTCTATTGCGGTCCGTTGTGACCAGGAAGATATCTCGCCTCATATATTAAGCGAACGTAACGAATTCTCAAAAATCCAAGCAATTTTCATTTCAAACCATTGTTGAGTGTGTCAAAATACGTACATAAGTAGTTCAAAGTGGTTCTTTGTAATATCTAAAACGGTGAATTGATGAAAACAATTCAATGGAATTCTTATAGTTTTCGCTACATTTATCTTTAAATCAACGATCGGACAAGTTTCCGATAGATATCAGATTAATTATGTCCCAGGCACTGCTAGCATGCATGAATGACGGTGACCACTCACCATGAGGTATACCCAATCATCTACTCTTCTATATATCAACAAAAAAATGTTTTCTCATAAACTCCGGAATCTAACCTACTAACTGGACATTAAGGCTGAATAGTTTTACTATCGTATAATTGAGTAATGCATACAGATAAGACTTGAGAATATTAGAATATACAGAATCCGACGGTCGCAAATAGATCACGTTTCAGCTTAGTAGTTACTTCAAGTCTTATGTAATTGATAACTGGTATTGCATTAATATTGAGACAGCAACCTATTGCATTTTCAACGGATAGCAACTAGCCAAAGCCTGTTCCTCATTTCTTAAACATGCATACATAATAAACATATTCTAGTATATTTCATTGAATAATATTAATTTTTTTTTCTTAAATTTCACAAACTGTACATCGTTTTTTGACTCCATTGAATATTAGGAAAACGTCTGTGACGTTGATTAGGTTTTTTAGACAGTAATTGTACCCCTTTTTTTTTTTGATGGTTGGATTTTTTTTTATAATTAACATAAAAGTAATTCGCAAAGTTGTGTGAAACTATCGCGACTGAGAATATAGTAACAATTTTTTAAGATCACATAAAATTGCTTAACCTATAACGGTCCTGCTATTTGTAATCACATAGCGATGAAATCAATAGAAACCTTTGAAAATCATTTCAATATTTTAAAGTATTCAGAATTGATATGATGACTTCTTAGGTATTTAAAATTAAAATCATTGCGATGGCGTTTGCTAATAGGCCCACAGCTCCCTTTGTATTCTTGTTTGAAATTTTATTGAGAGCGTGGGTGGAACAGGTGCAAGTTTGTAGTAATTTCAATATTTTAACCTTAAAAGTTCTATTATTTCACATAAAGACGTTCACTTTCAACTTAAAAGCTCTTGTTTGACAGCGTAAAATAATTTTATAAGCTCTGCGTCTACGAGTACTATACCAAAGTGATCATTCTAGATTGGCATTACACGGTAGGGTTTTTTCTATGCGACTTATTCTTGCCTACCTAAATACCCAATTTTTTATTAATAATTAATATCTTAAGCACTGGTACGCTATAATCGGGTTTATGCAGGTACCACTAAGTTGTCCATTGCTGCCCATTGTCCTAGTTTAAAGAGTGAGACCGCTGCTTTACAATATATTAGAGACTTTCCCTAAGATGAATGGCCATAATTGGCGATGAGTTGTGGTTTTTATGAGAGTTCATTAGATCAGACGAGCTCTTACAGCTCCTGCAACAACAAAATAGCGGTTAACTTAAAAAAAAACTGTTAATTTACAATAAATCTGACTTAACTACTTGAATTAATAAAATTAATAAAAAAACCCTCAACTAATATTCGGTATTTGCTAAAAAATATGTACATTTACATAATAATTATGCAAGTACATATATTACATATGCAAAATTGCTAATTATATTATATTATTCGAATATTTGGTCATTGACCTCAATTTTCCGAAGTTCGTATATTTTTTTCTCTAGTTGTTATCAAAGTAAATATAATTATTTGCTTCCGTAAACTGGATAAAGCGTTGTACTTAATGTCCGGAAATACGTAATTGTGTAAAGCCTTTATATCGTCTAAGCAAATCTTAATATAGCTACTTCCGTTGCAAAATAGACGTTATCCGCTCGTGTTATGGTTGTGAATTCGTCAAGGTTGTTGTACGAGCGGTAATCTGCTAAACACAGTAATGAGTTAATGAGGTCATATCATGACAACTCAGTGTCAACAGCCCGATATTTAGAGCACAGTAGAATAGAACTTTAGTTACAATAATAGGGTTAGTTTTACGTAGCGACTTGGCTGTGCCCCTATTCATGAGCGATGGCGATCACAATCAGGAGCTTGGTGCTAAAATAATCTTGAAGGAGCTTGGAAGGAACAAAGCAAAAAACCTATTTTTCAGGCAAAAGGTTGTCTTTTTAACTGACTTCAAAAAAGCAAGAGGTTCTCAATCCGACTGTGTTTTATGCATGCTACCTCAGAAACTTACCAGACTTAGAAATCATGTCTTCAGGTGGGTGGAGTTATTTACGTTGTAATGGAATCCGATAAGCACTTAACACCAGGTGGGCCGTGAACTCGTCCATCCATCTAAACAATCAAAAATGACCTAATATGATGATTCTATTTTTATTTGAAAGCTAGGCTGGTGATAGGACTTCTTGTGAGTCCGCACGGGTAGGTACCTCCACCCTGCTCATTTCTGCCCTGAACAGTAATGCGTTTCGGTTTGAAGGGTGGGGCAGCCGTTGTAATTATACTGAGACATTTAGGACTTATATCTCAAGGTAGGTGGCGGCATTTACGTTGTTGATATCTATGGACACCGGTAACCACTTAACACCAGGTGGGCCATGAGCTCGTCCACCCACCTAAGCAACAAAAAAAAGCTGGTGTTTCTCATTTAAATTTTATCAATATCTGACTTATTAAGTTATTATATATTTATTTTATTTCAATATTTATATTTTATATTGATGCTAATATTCTCATTTTTCTTTTGTTGGATTTGGTTTTTTTTTAATATTTTTCTATTTAACTTTGAGTTTGCTATTACAGTTACGTTGCAATTTCAACAAGCACGTACCTGCCGTCAATGGCAGAATTAAAGTATTTCAATTCTCTCTGTACTGTACCCCGCATAGAAAATAGCACAGATAACTTCCAATTCGCAAACTAGTGCAAACGTTCATAAACAAATGCACATGTTATAACGTTTCGCTTAGTACGTATTAATCATTTGGACATTTCAAAATGAGTCAGTCAATTTGAACAGCACTGGAGGCCAACGTTATTGACCCAAATAATCATTATGGGCCATCAACCGTTTCCTATTTTCAATTCATCTAATTTGCGAATGAATTTAAAATTTTGCATGAGCTATAATTTTTGATGTGAAACATCTATAGCCGCACGTAAAACCGATTTCTGGCGTGGCGACGCATGCCGTGGCGACGCGTTGCCACGCGCATTCGACTGTGCGATTCTCTCCCACTCGATCCGGCGTTAAGCCATCTCTCTCGCTACACTGAGCTCGGATACCTATAGTGTATACTCCGTAGTGTATACAGTGTTGTTTACCTGTGTTTTACTTGAAAACAAATTATTTTTTCGTAATATTTTATTTTATCATTATGACATATTTAGTTCCTATCACAATCTGTTCTTTTCTGTATATTACTTTTACAAAATAATGTCGATGTTTCACATCTGCCAGGCGTCCCGTGACGGCTCACATTTTATTTATTTATTAATATACGAGTATACCAGGCCGCGCTCTGCTAAGGCTATCTTAGCTAACTGTATGAAAAACATCGATTTTGAGAAAGTACTTGCGCCCCATTTAGACTACTGCGACCTTCCTTGAATAGTTAAAAACGTCTGTACTGTGTGCTTAGTGCGAGTTTTTTAACTTGTCGATCGCGTAAAAGTTAACTCAAATTTGTATGGAGTTGTAACAGCGCCCCTAGCGGCAAACGAAGGGAAACTGTTCCAACTCCATACAAATTTAAGATAACTTTTATTACTTAACGCGCTAAGCACATTTCAAGCATTTCAATGGGATTAAAGACTTAAGAACGCCTAGAGGATAAATATTTATATACCATATTTATATTTAAACGAATATATAAAAAAGTTGATAATAATAATTTCAGAGTTGAGTAAAATCCAAGAATAGAGTTGACAACAAAAATCTGAACTAATTTTGATGTTTTATTTATGTTAATACACATACTTTTTTTAGTATTGTGCAGCTTATCTATTTTAATCTTCGTTCAAACTTATATCACAGTTCGTTGTAACAGTCATTGTATTTTAAACATGAGGTATAAAGATTTGTATTCTTAGTCATCGTTTTTACATGAAGATCTTTAGGTCAGCGGCTCTCAACCAGAGTAGCGACAGATTGGTGTGTCGCAAGTCCCTGTCAAAAGTGTCATGACATTTCCAAATACGATATTTTTATCCAAGGTGACCTGGAGGATTGAATGGGGTACATAATGGGATTTACAAGTATTTACTTAATGTTAACTGTACAATTTATTACTGATGTATAATTTAAATAATGTTTGATAGTTGAAGT